TATGTATGTTGTGCTTACAGCCCATCTCCATTCGGATTCAACCACTGTTCAGACCTCACACGGGACCTGAGGGCCCCACAGGGGAACTAGGAAGATGCCATCCTAGGCCTTGGCCACAAGAGGTCACTGTACCCACACTTGTGCATCAGGGGGCCATTGTTTCTGCCGCCCAGGTGGGAGCTCTGCTCTCCGCAGCCACCTCCTCCCCGGCCTCCCAGGTCTGAGCCAGGCGCAAGGGCAAGAGGCACAGGCACAGTCTGGCAGAAAGATTAAGGCCCCACTGGAAACCTTCCTTGACCTCAAGACCCGTGTATTCATGCATTCATTCATTCCGCAAATATTTATTGAGCACTTCATCCGTGACAGCAGTGAACAAACACCTGCCCGAATGGGAGAGGCCAAAAAAGAAAGGAGAAAAATAAGTTGAATATATAGTATGTCAGGTGGCAATAAATCAGGGGATGGAAACAGGCCAACATTTAAATAGGTGTAGTGGAAGCCCTGACGTTGGGTTTTCTCTTTTTTGTAATGCAAGTGCCTGACTTGAGCTTTGCTTGCCAAAGCATCCACTTCAAAGATGGGTATCTCAGTAAACAGGATGCCAGGCACACGACTAGATAAAGAGCCAGGCCGCCTTCCCTGTCCCCCAGGCTCCTTTGTTTTAAAGACCTTAGTCAATTTCCGTAAATCAAAATCACCCTGCAGCTTGTTTTCCCTCTTCCCATGCTTTAAATTCCCCCACTCGTGTTTTAAATTCACAGAGTGAGCCTGTGAAACCCTAGGTACCCCCCTGGGCCCCAATAAAAAAACCCCAGAGACCCATGCACCCACCATCCACTGTGACCTCGCTTTATGGCCCCCAATTTAAAAAAATTTTTTTTTTAATTTCTTGATGGTTATTGTTGAGGGCATCTTGCAATCATGAGAACCACAAGGGCCGGTCCAGACACAACGTTGGTTATCGATAGGCTGAGACACACACAAAATAGGCCTCGAGGAGGTGACAATGGAGCAAAGACCTAGGCAAGGTGAGGCAGCGAGCTCTGCAGATTTGTGAGAAGAGCAGAGGAATGATAACGATCATCCCTTTATTCACACAGCAAACATTTGCTGGCACCTCCCAGGAGCGAGGCCCTGCAGGGAGCAGTGGAGAAATAGCTGAGTCAGCCTCAGTCCCTGCCCTCAGTGGGCTCCCCATCTGGCGGGAAGGCAGGCATGGACACAGAGGGATACATGCCACAGTGGGGAGTTAGCAAGGACACAGGGGAGCCTAGAGGCGGGGTGCCCAGCTCAGCATGAGGTGTCATAGAATGCCTTCTGAAGGAGGTAGTGTTTCAACCGGGCCCCAGAAGGTGAGTAAGAATGAGCACGAGATGGGGCCCCTGGGTGGCTCAGTCGGTTAAGTGTCTGCCTTTGGCTCAGGTCATGATCCCGGAGTCCTGGGATCGAGTCCCGCATCGGGCTCCCTGCTCAGCTGGGAGTCTGCTTCTCCCTCTGCCCCTGCCCCCACTCCTTCTCTCTCTCTCAAATAAATAAAATCTTAAAAGAAGAAGAAGAAGAAGAAGAATGAGCGCGAGAAAGCGGTGGGAGGGAGACAAGGCTGAGAGAACAGCGGCAGGTGCAGGGGTCTGCAGGTAACGAAGCACCTTGAACCTGTGTGGAATGGCTGCTCCCTGGGCAAGATGGCTGGGGAAGAGCTAGCCCAGGAGGCTGGGGCCCTGAGAAGAGTGAAAAGCTGCTGCACACTGAGGGCTGCCTGCTGGAGGTAATGGGGGCCCTAGGAAGGGTTCAGAGCAGACAAGACTAGCTCTGGGTATCAGAAAGCTCCTTCTGGGGCCATGTCCCGGAAGACTGCAGGGAGAAGCCAAAACAGAGCAGCAGCAAGGGGGTGGGATGGTGGGAATGGATATGAGGGCTATTTAAGAAGCACTCACCAAGGGCTGGAAATCCTACTAAACTCTAGGGTGTGTTTTGTAAGCAGAAGAGTTCCCACATGAACCCCAGTACAAGAGAAGTCTGTCCTAAACAGACTGAACAGAAATAAAGATGTTTGCCAATTAGGCAGATGGCCATAGTAAACACGGGACAGTCTTTTGCTGAGGGAGAAAGCCATAGTAAACATGGAGGGCAGAGCAGGGGTGTTGCTGAGACAGAAGGCCTAGTCATCATGGAGGGGGACTTTTGCTGTGGTCTTTGGCCTTGGTAAACTGCAGCCCCTACATAAACACAAGGGATCCTTAATTCTTGTTGAGTATGGCAGTGGATCTGTGAAAGGATCAAGGCTGATGATGCAGAAACCTCATCCCCCAGAGTCAGAAGCTTTCTTCCCCTTAGGGATTTCAAACCCAGTCTCAGAAAGATGGGCTTTCCCATCTTCCCCCTGTGTGTTGGAGATTGGTGTCAGGTCTGAAGAGGTAGAAGCATTGGGTACAGAGATTCTGGAGGAAAGCAGATTTCTGGAGAGAAGCAGATTCTGGAGGGAATCAGGAATTCTGGAGGGAAGTGAATTTTTTGATAGAAGCAGAGATTCTGGAGAGAAGGAGGCTTTGAGATCATCTCACCCTTTTGGCCTGTTTATACAGAACCTCACCGCATGTCAGGTAGCAGACTAGTCTCAGGATTCAGCAGTGAACCTGCAAGACAAGGTCCCGGCCCCCATGAAGCTTCAGTTCAAATGAGAGAGACGTTACTTCATTCCACAAATGTTTACTGTGTACCTACTATGTGCCAGGGCACAGATCGGATAAAGAAGGCAAAAACCCCTGCACTGTCAGAGACGACACTCAAGTTATGGGAACAGAATCCACAAGAAAGCAAGTAAATAAAACATGAGGGACATCTGATGGTGATAAATGCCATGGGGGGGGGGAAGACAATAAACAAGGAAGCAAACACATAAAGCAATTGTAGTTTGAAATAAGGCCTAGAAAGGAAACCAACAAGGGTCTGAGACAGAAACTAAAGGGGGATGTCTGCTCCAGACAAGGTGATCATAGGCATAGTGAGGGGGTGTCCCAGGCAAAGGGAACGGCAAAGACAAAGACCCTAAATTGGGAAGGCAACTACCATGCTGAAAAAAATCAAAGAAGTCCAGGGGAGGTGAGGCACAGTGAATGATGGAGTGATGAGGTTGGAGGGATGGACATAAGCCAGACAGAATGCCTTGGAGGCATTTGGGTTTTATTCTATTTGCAGTGGGGAAATCATAGATGGGTTTTAAGCAGTTTTTAACATGATACTGTTTTATATTTTAGGAGCACGTTGGCTGCTGGACTTGCACTTGGCATGGGGTGAGGGAAGGTGGGGACAGGGGTCAAATGTAGAAGCGGTGAGACCAGTTAGGATGCCACTGCACCTGTCCAGGTGAGAAATGAATGTGGCTTGGTATGAGAGGAAAGAAGTGGGTGGATTCCGGGGCGCCCGGGTGGCTCAGTCGTGAAGCGTCTGCCTTCGGCTCAAGTCATGATCCCAGGCTCCTGGGACTGAACCCCGCATCGGGCTCCCTGCTCTGCGGGAAGCCTGCTTCTCCCTCTCCCACCCCCCCCACCCCCGCTTGTGTTCCCTCTCTCGCTGTCTCTCTCTATATATCAAAATAAATAAATAAAATCTTTAAAAAAAAAAAGTGGGTGGATTCCATGACTATTTTGGCGCTAAGGTTATAGGAATTGCCAAAGTGGGAGGTGGGAGTGAGGGAGGGATCCAAGACCACTCCCAGCTTTTGACCTGAGCAACAGGGAAAATGATGGTGTCATTTACTAACAAGGGGAACACCAAGAGGGTGGTGGGGGTAGACCCATATTCTCCCTCTTTTTAAACAGAAATAAGTGGGAGATAACAAAGATGGAAGGAGGTGGGGCAGAAATGTTTGCTGCCTGTTGACCTGGCATCAGGGGTGCCCAGGTGTGCATCCAGAGGCTGCCTGGCACGTAGCAGATACAGGTGCTGAGTCAGAGACATCGGACAGATTACCCGAAAGTTTGGGTAATCAAAGAGACACGTGACATCAGCAGCAGAGGGGCATCGAGTCAGACAGGCTGAAGTTTGAACCCCAGCGACACCCCTCACTCACCATGCAATGTTGGGCAACTAACCTCATTTCTCTGGGTTTTCTCCATCTATAGAATGGGAGCAATTATGTGTGCACCACGAAAAGCCAGTGGGGAGATTCAGAGAGGTGTGGCACATGGAGGTACTAGAAAAATTGCCAACCAAGAGCTGGTCAGGGGCCCAACAAGGCAGAGGTAAGGGTCCGTGTGCTCATCCCACAAGCATTCATTGCATGCTGGGTTGTCTCAGGGGCTGGATGACCCAGGTTCCAATCCTGGCTCTGCCACTTTTACCAGTGACTTTTGTCTGAGACCCCATTTCCTCACCTGTAACATGGTGCTAATAAGAGTATCTAAGCCTCATAAAGCTGCTATGGGGATTAAATGTGATGATGTTTATGAGGTCTTTGGCAACCAGCCTGATGTTTATAATAAGCGAAGACAGAGACAGGCATTCCCTGACAACAAGGACCCAGGAGCATTGAAGAGAGAGGACCCCCTGGTTTTACAGTCCCCCAGCCTCCACATGGTCTGAGACCTCCCCTGTCACCCATTCCCACGGTAGCTCCCTATCTCCATCCAGAAAGGCTCCACCTCTGAAGCCACGAAACCCACATCCCACTCCCTGACCACAGCCTCCCATGCTTCCAGAGCTGTGGGTGGCTCTGCCATACCTGTTCTTCCACCTCAAAGGCACCCTAACCCCCTCATGCAGCCTCCTGCCAAGCCCCTTCTGTCTGCACTTCCTACACCCCACAGTCCACCCCTTTCCCTCCCTAGAATCCTCAGCTCCCTTGTCTTAGCATCCCTCCCACCACCACCCAGCCCTACACTGCCTGCTCTTCGCTGGAGAAAAACAAAACAAAATCGTCCAACTGCTCAAATGATGCCCCTTTAAATTCCTGATCACCAACTTCACCTGGGCACCTCCTCCGCCACCCTCACCTCCCCAACCCCACCCACCCAGGTGCCCCTTGAGATGAGCTGGCATCGATCTTCCCGGAGGAAACAGAAGCCAACCCAAGCGCCCTCCCTCCTCTTCCTGCCACAGGACTCACACCCCACCCGAAACCTCACCCGCCCTTTCCTTCTTCCTTCCTGGAACAATGGAAGAGGCGTTTTTCCTCCTGTCTGGAGCTAATCCCACCACTCTGGCGGTTGCACCATCCGCCCCTTTGTTCTTGGGCATCTCGCTCCCTGCGGTTGTTAAGAGCTCTCCGCCTGGGTTCAAATCATGGAATCATGGTGCCACTACTCAGCGTTGTGTAAACTTGGGCGGGCGACTTCTCTTCCTCGTCTGTACATTGAAGATAATAAGAGCATCTTTCTCACGAAACCATGGGAAGGGTTTGGTGAGTTAATTTATGAAAAATGCGCTAAAACAGTGCTGGACACCCAAATCCATGTGTAAATGGAATTGACCCTCAAATCGCCTTGGGAGACAATAGAAGATTCTGGTAGTGGAGCGGAGATTCCTATAGTCCTGGAGTTTGTACGTTTCCTCTTGCGCTGACCAGCTAGGAGACCTTGGACCAGCCACTTCCCCTCAGCCTCAGTTTCTCAGCCTGTAAAATGGGGACAAGATAGTACCTATCCCATAGGGTCCACATTTTCCATGACTCACTTTGCTCCAGCCATGCTGGCCTCCTCACTGGTCCCCAGACACACCTCAGGGCTTTGGCACTGTTGCTCCTTCTGTCTGGAATAGTCTTCCCTCAGAGATCCCTGTCTACCTTTAGGTCTTTGCCTGAAGGTCACCTCGGTTGGGCCTTCCCTGACCCTACTCCATTCCCTACTTTCTTACTATTTTTCATAGCACGGATAAATTGTAATATTATGTGTTGTACTTATTTAATTTTCTCTTGATTGCTCCTGATTCCAGAATGTAAGCTTCAGCAGGGCAGGGCTTTCTGTCTGTTTTGTTCATGGCTATATCCTCAGCACTTGGAACTGTGACTCAAGCATAGTGGGTGCTCTGTGTTGTTGATTGGAAGGAGGGAGAGTGAAGGAAAGCAGGAGGGAGAGAGGGAGGGAGGGAGCACAGAGCCAGGTCGCAGGACCCTGAGATCATGACCTGAGCTGAAATCAAGAGCCGGCTGCTTAACCGACTGAGCCACCTCAATTTTTTTTTTTAAAGATTTTATTTTGGGAGCGCCTGGGTGGCTCAGTCGTTAAGCCTCTGCCTTCAGCTCGGGTCATGATCCCGGGGTCCTGGGATCGAGCCCCGCATCGGGCTCCCTGCTCCGCGGGAAGCCTGCTTCTCCCTCTCCCACTCCCCCTGCTTGTGTCCCCTCTCCTGCTGTCTCTCACTCTGTCAAATAACTAAATAAAGTCTTTTTTTAAAAAAAAAAAGAGATTTTATTTTTAAGTAATCTCTACACCCAACACGGGGCTCGAACTTACTACCCCAAGATCTAGAGTCCCTTGCTCCACCGACTAAGCCAGATAGCTGTGATCCTGCAAATCAATTTGTCTTTAAAGTTTTGAACATTAAAGCACAAAATAAAAGAACACAGCACCGCACCTGGCTGTGCCAAGCCCTCAGTAAATGGGGGCTGCTTTTGTCTTTCCCTCTCTCCTCACCAGCTTTCGCTGGTCACAGCCTCTCGCCGGCGCCACATCTAAGCGCTGTCTTCACTCACCACCTCCTCCTCCCCTGCTTCCGGTCCCACTGGCCACAAAAACGTTCCAGTCTCCCCTCTGTCTTTTTCCCAGCGGCCGTCCAGCTGTGTCCCACCCTCGTGTCTCTTCCTTCCTAGAAAGTTATCTTGACTTCCACACTACCACCCTTTCCTGGCCTTCTTTCTAGCTCTCTGTTTGCTCCTTCTCAGCCCCCTGCCCCCTAAACCGGGGCCTTCCTTAGGGTCCTGGGCAGATGTCCTTGGTCCTCTCACTAGATATAGTCTCCCCGCATGGGCCGCAGGGGCCCCACCTCTGTCTCTAACCAGGCAGCTGTCCTAAGCTCCGGACCTAGGTCTCCACTGAGGACCCTAACGGCTCTTCTCTCCCCTGCTCAGAATCACCCTGGGCTTCTGCTTCTCCCAGCCACTTTTTCCTCCTGCCCGCTGAGCTCTGTCACCATCCTCCTGCCTGAAGGTCTCTACTCAAGCCCCTCCCCTCTTCCCACCCCCGCCCGACCCCACACTCCCTCCATCCCCCTGGCGAACTCCTACTCATCCACCGCAGGCCCCAGCTCAGACAGCCCGCCCTTCGGGAACCCTTTCCCACTCCTGGGGTTCCATCAGGCCGTTCCACATTCCTTGTCAGAGGGCACATCACCCCGGACCGAGTTTCCTATTGCCCCATTGATCTTTCCCACCAGACCATGAGCTCCTTGAAAGCAAGGACTCTGGCCATCTGTTCATTCATTCATTCACTTATTCATTAAATATCTTTTGCACACCCATGTCAGGGCAAACAACACTGCTAAGGTGGTGGGTGGAGTGGTGAGCAGGTGGCCCAGGTTTTAGATTATGGCGGGAAGGCACTGAGTAACCTGGTGGGAGCCTGCAGGGGCTGGGGGCTGGGCTGGGGAGCAAGAAGGAGGTGAAAGGAGCATATTTGTGGTGCATGGCCAGCCTTTCACTAGGGCTCCCTTGGATTCACTGAAGCCTTCTGCATAAGCAGAGCCTTCTTTTTATTTTTTTTAAATTTTTTTTTAAGATTTTATTTATTTGAGAGAGAAAGAGTATGAACAGAGGGAGGGGCTGAGGGGGAGGGAGAAGCAGACTCCACACTGAGCACGGAGCCCGACCCAGGCCTTGATCCCAGGACCCCAGGTTCATGACCTGAGCCAAAGGTAGATACCCAGCCGACTGAGCCACCCAGGCGCCCCTCAGAGCCTTCTTTTTAGGCGGAGGGAGACCTCATGCTTACCAGAGTCTTCCAGCTCAGTGGAGGATCCCCCTGAGTCCATCAAATCAAGGTTTATGCTCAGATGGAGGGGGTGGGTTTGCCTTTACCAGGAAATTCTGTTTTGTTGCTGTTTATTTTGAAATAAATTATGAAGAAAAAAAAAGAAATACTTATGGACTCTAAGAAGTTGCTCAAGTGGGCTCCTTCCCTCAGCTTCCCCTGGTGGTAATGTTGTCATAGATAAATAATCGCAGGACGTATCTGCCCCCAGGAAATCCCCGAGGGCCATTAGCTAGACTACAGGTCTAGTTCCGTGTCTCTGTGCATCTGTTTGCCTATGTGTGTGTATGCACAGGTGTTTCTTTTTTTTTTTTTAAGATTTTTATTTATTTATTTGACAGAGAGAGAGAGAGAGAGCACAAGCAGGGGGAGTGGCAGGCAGAGGGAGAGGGAGAAGCAGGCTCCCCGCGGTCCTGGGATCGGGATCACAATGTGAGCCCTGAGCCAAAGGCCGACTCTTAACCAACTGAGCCACCTGGATGCTCCTGCACAGGTGTTTCCATGTAATGTTACCTCATCTGTAGATCTGTGTCACCACAAGGGGCCCCCAGACGCAGAGCAGCCCCTTCCCAGTCCCCCTGTGGCCCCGGGTGAGGGTTGGGGGGGACGGGGAGGTCTTTCCTTCTGTTCAGCATCCCACACTTCTGGTTTGCCAGGGCCAGAGCTGAGGCCTTCAGCCCCTCAGAGCCGGGTCACAGGAAACAGAAGTGCACACAGGGAGGTGGGCATGTGGATTCAAATGCGCAGAATGAGTCCCCAGGGACAGAGACAGGGCTAAGCCGCAGCCCAGGCAGAGAGGGAGGAAAGTGGTTTGGGAGCCAGCCTGGGTGGAGGGTGGGGGGCGGTGCTGGGGTGTTGGGAGAGGGAGAGTGCCCAGGCTGCCTCCTGAGTCACTCACTGTTCCCTGCTCAGGCCCAGGGACAAATTGCAGTCATTAGGGAATTTAAGAGGCTGGGAGGTGCTAAGGGCCCGGGCCCTGGCCCAAGTTAGGAGGGGTCCCTTGAACCCAGGGCCCCTTCTCGGCCGCCTGGAGCCCCTCCCCACCTCACCGCTGTCTCTCTCCCTCTCTCTGGGTCTCCGTCTCTGTCTCTGTCCCCCACTCTGCCCCCCCTTCTGCAAAGCCCCAGCTGGGGCACCCCAGTTCTGCATTGACCCTCCTCCTCCCTGCTGGGGCCCTTGCTCCCCCAAAATCCCAGGACTGTGAGAACCACAAAGTGAGAAAGCCTAGGGGACAAGACTGTCCCAGGTGCCTCCTGCCTCTCCTGTCTCCTGCCAGTTCCCAGCCCCTCCCCCAGCCGCCCTCTTCCTGGCGGCTGTCACCTTCCACGTCTGCCTCCCGGTCTCCTCTGTGTCCCCATCACCTGTGTACATGTCGCTCCCTCCGTCTCCCCCTCCCCTGCCTCGTCCGGCATCTTCCTCCCCCTCCTCTCCAGTGTATCAGCATTTCGTTGGGGCCATCCCGGCTCCCCCACCCCCAGCCTATTCCTTCGGTTCCACCCCGCCCCCTTGGCTTCCCCACCCTGCCCTCTCCATGAATCTCTGTCTCTGGGCCTCCCCTGTCCCCTTGTCTTTCCCCCCATCTGCCTCCTCTGTCCCCATGTCCACATTCATCTTCCTTCCCTTCCCTATCTTTCTCTAGTCTCTCTCCCTCTGACTCTTGTGTCTCCAGCCTGTTTTTCTCTGACCCTGTCTCTGGCTCTCCACCTACATATGTGACTTCTTTCTCATTTCCCAGCCTTCTCTGTGTCTCTGCTCCCCACCCCCACCCCACCCCTCCCAGCACCTTCCCCTGAGCCCCCCAGCCTGTCCACCCTGCCCTGGGGTCCCCCCTCCCTGGGTTCCTCCCAGATTAAACACCTTCACTGGGCGGGTTCTCATTAATGTGGTGGCTGCTTCTCTGGCCAGAGAGGGGAGGGAGGAGATAGGACCAGGGAGCCCTGGAATGAGAACTGGACTATAAAAAAAAAAATGTCAGGAGAAGGGCGGGGGGCAGGGCCAGTTGCCCAGACCAAGGATAAAAGGCCTCCATGGAGTGACAGGGAGGCAAGACACCACCCCCACCTCCTCTACACACAGAGACACATCCATGTTTCTAAGGGTCTTGGTCTCTGTTTAAAGCCCTCTCTGTCTCTGTCCCTCAAACTCTGGGTCTCTTGCAGCCTGCTTCTCTCTCACTTTCTCTCTGCATTTGCCAGAACCCAACCCCAGCCCCCAGAATGTTCCTCCTGCTAACAACTCTCCAGATCGTGGCTCTAGGTAAGACAGCAGCGGGGTCTGGGGTATGGACAGTCCCCTGGAGATGCTGAGAAGAGACAGGGAGGGTTCCCAGGGACCCAGTGTGCTCAAGGGTGACCTGGTGAGAAGGCATGGGTGTGGTTTTGGGGGTTGTGGCTGAGGAGCCCTTAGGAGGGGGCCTGGGTTCTGAGTTGTGGAGATATCAGGAGATATCAGGGTACAGGAGTTGAAGGAGATGGGGAGAAATAAGTGAGAAATTGTGGAGAAGTGTCCAGGCCTGTCTGGGTTTTATTTAAAAGGAGGGCTGCAGAACTAATGGAAAGACAGCATGTTGCTGGCGGTGAAGGGGGGTGGGTGCGATGTAGGGAGGTAGGCTCATGGGGAGGGGCATGGATTGGCAGATGGAGTGGGTGTGGGGCGAGACGGTGGGTCCTGGGGGGCCATGCGAAGGTTGGAAAAAGAACAGGGAGCTCCTTGACTGTGTTGGAGAAGGATTAACGGGGGGAATTGTGGTATGTTGTGAGAAGTGATGTTGATGAGAAGTGGGAGAGTAAAGTCAAGGGTAGTAGATATGTCAGTGCCCTGGATGAGGTGGCCGTGGGATCAAGTAATATACTATGGAGGTGATGGGGGGATTGTCAGAAAACTCCCTGATTGTGTTGGGGTAATTATGGGGGCAACACTGGGCATACCTCATACTGCGTGGGGCAGATAGAGGTGGGTGGTTTAGGGGGTAGGTAAAGAAAGGGGATTTGTGGGTCCCAGACATCCTAGAGAGTTGAAAGGTGGAGAACATCTGTTCATCTGCTTTCCCCACCCCACCCCTGCCTGTTCCTAGCCATGGCACAGAGCCAAGAGGATGAGAACAAGATAATTGGTGGTTATACATGCATCCAGAACTCCCAGCCATGGCAGGCGGCCCTACTGGCAGGTCCCTTTCGTCGTTTCCTCTGTGGAGGGGCCCTGCTGTCAGGCCAGTGGGCCATCACTGCTGCTCACTGTGCACGCCCGTGAGTACCCCCCTCCCCTATTCTTGTGCCAAGTGGATTCCAGAGTCTAGAGCCCCAGAGCTCAGCCAAGAACCTGGAGCATTGTGTTGAACCTGATGTAGTAGCTGGGTCCTGGTTTGGGATCTAGATAAGAGCCTAGAATTACCAACACAGCTCAGAATATGGAATCCAGCCATAAATCTTGAGCTCAGTTTAGATTCTTTTTTTTTTTTAAGATTTATTTATTCGGGTGCCTGGGTGGCTCAGTCATTAGGCATCTGCCTTCTGCTCGGGTCATGATCCCAGGGTCCTGGGATCAAGCCCCACATCGGGCTCCCTGCTCGGCCAGGAGCCTGCTTCTTCCTCTCCCGCTCCCCCTGCTTGTGTTCCCTCTCTAGCTGTCTCTCTCCCTCTGTCAAATAAATGAATAAAATCTTTTTTTAAAAAAAAGATTTTATTTATTTATTTATTTAGAGAGAGATTGAG